TAATAGACTCCTTGATGGAGTTGTAGATCTCTTCACGAATACTAGGGTTAAATTTTGTACCTGTTCCAATTTTGCAATGAATGATTCCTTGCAGTAGAAGCAACTCGTCTTCTTTGCTCCACATTTGAGCAGAAACAGACCTCTTTATACTCGGTTTCACTTTCTTTGCAGCACTCATGTGTTCTGACGAAGTCCCTTCACTCACACGCTTTTGTACCTTGCCAAAAACACAGATCTCCTTCTCCTTAGCTAACTCGGCAGCTTTGGAAGGAGTTTGTTGTTCCTTCATTAAAACTTCTTCCTCGTCATCCTCGGAGCTGTCTTCATCACTTTTCTCGTCTTCTTCCTCTTAGGAAAAGAAATCTCCTTCTCCTTGGATATTTTGGGTTTGGACGGAGTTTGTTCCTTCGCGGGCTCTTCGTCTTCAGAAGACGCTTCATCCTTCTCGGAGCTTGTCTCTCCATTGTCCTCTTCTTCTTCCTCGGAGCTTATCTCTCCACTGTCCTCTTCTTCTTCTTCTTATTGAGAAGAAGGTTACATCTGCAAGCCCAAGGTGGCTTCATAAACAGTTGTAGTGGATGAATCAGATGTTTTTTCGTCTTACTCCTCGGAGGAAGAAGACTCGTGGGAGCCTAAAGAAGTTTCACTTTGGTTTAGGTTTTTAGTCGCCATTGTTAGATGTGAGTTTCAAGTGAGACGTTTCGGATTTCTTTTAAGTTACGAGTTAACAACAAATAGAGAGGATATTGATATTTATAAAAAAGCATGCATCGAAAATGCTTTTTATCTTTTCTTTTAAGTTATCTACTTACTTTTTCTTTAAATCTTTGGGAATACTAAAGGACTGTTATTATTAAACGATATATAAATATTGAGGGTTAATTATTATCATTAGTGTGAAATCTTAAAATTTGGAACACAAAATGGTGGTTCCCGTAGTATCGATATGGTTCTAAGCTCACGACCTGAGAGTGGATGAGTTGGAGCGTTAGTATAAGTATAGTGACTATATGGAGACCTTTGAGATTGATAGTTGTTCAATCTCGCACTCGGATTTTGTTGGCCGATGGGGTGAGGGTTGTGTTGGCAGTGGGCCAGGCTTGAGTTGGCTGGTGGGCCACAGATGTGTTGGCCGTTGGGCCATTGTTATGTTGGCTAGTGGGCCAAGGTTATGTTGGCTGAAGGGTCATAAATGGTGCATACCATCGTGATGGTTACAGAAATATGATGGTGTTCAATATCAAGACTAGTTGTGTTGATCAAATTGTAACGTGTGTGTTCATGGCTTATCTAAACATTAAGGTTGTGTGATTTGTGTTTATGTGATGCGTGGATTGATTTCTTTTTGTTTTGTTATGATTTATGGTGTTTGTATGGCCTTGTGTGGTTGTTCCTTGGTTTTGTCATCGCGGGAAGTTATGTAGTGCTGAAATTAGGGTTCTTTGATGGATGAGATCGTCATTTGGGTGTTATAGGGTGTGGGGTGGGCGTCGATCGACACCAGTCGGTTAATCGCGGTGCAAATTCATGGTATGTGACCAACACGATGTGGGGGTGTCGACGGACGCCAGTTTTTGGCGTCGACCGACACAAGTTTAAATTCACGAACACTAGGGTAAAATTTTGTATCTGTTC